GCCCAGGAGGTGCCGGGAACCCTGAGGGGATTCAGGGAGCACAGCGTCCACCCCTCACCCAGCTCCTCCTGAGCCGGGGGAGCTACAGCTCGTTAGGGCCCTAAGGAGGTGGGAGCAGCCCCCCAGGAAGGGCCCCCAGATCCCAGAGGAACTGTGATCCCAGCCTCCACGTCACGGCTCACGGAGCAGTGAAGGCCTGGCAGCTCCAGGGGCTGGCCCAGCTAATCCCCGAGGAGCCCAAGGCCAGGCCTGGGGTGTCCCACTGGGAAGTGAAACCGTGAGCCCCCCCCACGTACCTGGAGGGGGGAAGGGGGGCGGGAGGAAGCCCTCGGGTTTGGGCGCCTTGCACTGGTTACACTCCGTTCTCCAGGCGAAGTTCTGGTTTCCACAGCCCCTGGGTACAAACACCAGTCAGCCCAGAGCAGGATGACATTCCTGCTGGGAGAATGCCAGGAGGCACCACGAGCAGGGTGGAGAGCAGGACCCGGGGCTCATCTCCTGGCCAGGTTTCCCCAGTGTGGGGGAGTCCAGCTGCCTCTTCACCCACAGCCCCCGCAGTGACCCCATCCCTCCCTCCCTGACCCAGGTGGGAGGAAGGAGCTTCCTGGGAAGGCCCAGTAAGAGATTTTGGGAAAGGCCTCCTGGTCCTGTCAGCCCCTGGGACAAAGGGGACCCGGGGTACTCACGGGTTGGGGCACTGCCAGTCCCCGGCGCGGTGCTGGACGCTCCCTCCGGAGGGGTTTCCCCGGGACCCCCGTGGGCCTCTCGAGGAGAAGCCACCCCTGTCTCCACCTCTTCCACCCATCCTGCCCATGGGGCCGCTGGGGCCACTGGGCCCCCCTGGGCCACCAGGACCCCCCGGACCTGTGGAAGGAGCCCTGTTAGTGCCAGAGCCACGGGTGGGGAGGGGGGACAGGGAGCAGCTCCGGGGGTCCCAGCCAGTACCTCCTCGGAGAGGGGGGGGCATTCCCCGCTGCTCCCGGGGGGGCATCCCGCCCCTCAGGCTGTTCATGGGGCCCTTCTTCCGTGCCAGGGTCACCTTCAGCTTGCTGCCCTGGAAATCCTTCCCTAGGAGGGACACAAGGACAGGACATCAGTGCACACCTGCACCCTGGTGCTTCCTACAGGGAATTCCATCCCAAACCCCCTCCCACACTCACCATCAAACCATTCCACAGCTGTTTTGGCAGTAGATGGGTCATCGTAGGACACGGTGGCGTCACCTTTGGGCTTGCCAGTCTCTTTGTCGATGTACAGGTTTATCATGGGCTGCCCCGTCCTCTTGTTCATCTAAGGGACAGTGGGATGTCACCCGGAGTCCCCTCTCCCAGCAGGGATTTACTCCCTGTTCTGCTTTCCAGACAAGCAAGGCTCATTCTGAGGACTCCAGGGCAGAAGAAAGGGCCCCTTGGGCCTACCATGGGTGACAGGGACAGCCCAGACACCCCAAAAATGAAGGAACGGGCCCAAAACAGCACTGCCAGGCCCAACAGGCCTCTCCCAGGGAGCTGATGGGCTGGAAGGGTGTGAGCAATGGGCAGGGAGGAGGAGGAGAAGGAGAGAGGGGTCTGGGCAGGCTGTGCAGGAGCTCTGGGGTGAGGAGAAGGAGGAGGAGGATGGTCCCCCTGCCCTGCCATCAGGGGTCACAGGTGTCCCCTCACCTTGACAACACCGCACTGTTTGAAGAAATCTGCCAGATCCTCCAGGGTCACATTATCGTTGAGTCCCTGCACATACACTGCAGTGCTGTCTGAGTCCTCCTCTGGCTCCATGGGGGGGCCTAGGAGACAATTCCCAGGGTCAGTGCAGGGAGAGGAAGGGCAGGGATACCCCAGGGCCGAGTTCTTTCCATCCCGTCATTCCCAGCTGCGGCTCCGCTCCCAGTGAGCGACAGGAAACCCCGGACCCCGAGGGAGGTGACTGAACCCCCCCATGTCCTGCCAGACAGACCCCAGAGCCCCCCCTGCGGGAAGAAACCCCGGTTATATCAGGACACATCCCAAGGGAGGGATCAGGAAGACCTGGGTGCCCTCTGGGCTCCCACACATGGACATCCCACCTCCCTTTTCCGATGCTGGAAGCTGACACATAACTTCCAGACACGCCTGTAGGACAGGAAGGGACAACCCATAAGGCCACAGGCTGCTGTGGCACGGGAGGAG